ATATATATATATATATATATATATATATATATATATATATATATATATATATATATGGATTTAAATTGCATATTATAAGTAATTCTTATACTGAATGAAATACAAATTTTAACATTCATCTACTATGAAAGACTGTTCTATGACGTAAGTATGCATATCCTATATTTGTGTATTCTAGTTTGTGAATATGAAACAGAAAAACACATTGCACAAGTACTTTGACTCTATTTTTACAACAAATTATGAGCCAAGATTCTTTTTTTCTCTATATATTACTACAATTTACTCGATATAAACGAAATGTTAATATATAATTGATTAAGAAGTAGTTTACTTTATATTGCATTGTAAATATTTATATTTTTCATGTGTAGATATTTCTATACATGATCATGTAATCATTAAACATGAATATGTTAATATTCGATTTTTTTAAATTAAATATTTTACATTCTAACATAAGTATCGTTCAATTTATAATTAATTTACATATACAAGTACAATTTTAATTGTATTGAAAAAGACGATACATATTAACAAAAACAACCATGACAGTCAGTCCTATGAAATCATTGTATAATGTATTTTTATCGACATTATTTATTATTAATTATTTGTACTTTGTAATTTTTAAGCCTTATGAAAAATCGTGAAAAAATCATAAACAGCAACATCATTACAGTTTCTGTTAATATTATAAAATTTTCGTATTAAACATACATGCAAAATTTGGAATATGTAAAAAAAAAAAAAAACAATATCAATTTAATAAATTAATATAAATTAATAAAATTATCGGAAGAATTGGAAACAATGTTGCTTAATAAAAATACGGCATATTTTTATGTTTAAAAATTATGAAACAATTTTTCAAAAAAAAAAAAAAAAAACAATCAAATTATATTATATAATATGATTATAAAGTAAAGTTATATTATATATTACTGTTAGCAATTTTTCGTACTTACAAATAAGTTTACCTGATTTAAGTGCCATGCTTATATTGTTCAAAAGATATCCAATTGTACTACATATATATTATACATATTTACACGTACGTATTTACACACGTACTTATTTATGCTCTCATAAGATTTGATTAAAGTTTCCTGTTGTATCTAATCTATTATTACATTATGTAAAGAACGATAGCAATATAGCATAGCATATATAAAATTGTTTACTATGTCTGTTTGAATGGATGTCATACTTTATCATAAAAATTTCAAAAATTTATCTTATTAATTATATGTAGAAATATCAAACATAAAAAAAAAGGAGAGAAAAGAGAGAAGCTTGACAGATACATTTTTTTATGACATATATTTATAATTACAATTGTACGATCACTCATAGAAAATAATTGTTGGACATAATTTTTACATTCCAAAAATTCCAAAAGTAATTTTGAGTGTATAATTGCGCGTTTCTTTTTCGTTTTTAACGTTAGTATGTAATTAAAAATGTATGCTTACTTATAATTCGAGTTTTTAGCATTATTGACACGCACGAAATAATTGCATTGTACTATTTGATTTAAAAATCGATTATGTTGGATTGAAATTAGATTAAAAATAGATTGAAAGTTGCGTTGCGCGTATAATTCAAACAAGGAAAATAAATATTCCTAATTAAGAAGATTGAAAAATTTGCTTTTATTAAAATTTAATTAAAAATAGAAAAAAAATTCCTTATTATACAAATTTTTATCAATGATCCCATTCAATCAACTATTTTAAGTATAAGTACTCGAATTGAAAAAAGTGCATATGTTTTTAACATTGCATTTTCAATAGGTGCCTAAATGTTTAATTATATTGTATTATCTTATATAAAATTTAAAAAAAAAAAAAAAAGAAAAAACATTCTGAGAATTCTGATCAAAAATAATTTAAATTTTATTTTACTTGTTAAATAATTTTCAATAAATTTCAAATTGGACATAGACGAATGTCACTTAGGGATAGTTTTATTATTATAGTTTCGTTCGAATTAAATAATATCATTACGATAATGATAGAAGATTATTAATACAATTTGTATAATTTTATTGTTCTCAGATTGTTTTAATTTGCGCAACATATTGTATGTACAGATCATTTAATTTCATCACGTGTATATAATATCAACTTATTTTTATTTCTAATAATTTACACTTCATTCCGATGCCTTTGATACACGCATATACGAAACAAAATTGATATTTAACATATATGTCCAAATATCGTTTGTTAAAAAAACAAGTTTCCAATTTTGACTGCTTGTACAGAACGTTATGAAGTGTTTGTACAAAACGTTGAAACATACATATAATAGGTTTAATTATATATTCGATTGAGCGACGACGATATTGACGGAATGAATACTCTGTATCAGAATTATTATCACAAGAAACATGTGTATAAATATTATAAATACAAATGTAAGTTAAATGTAATTACTTCGTAACAAACTATTAACTATTACTTATCGAAATGTGGTGGAATACACATTTAGTATTTACGCATATTTCCATTCTAGTCCGATTGATATTACGACAATTTAGTAGTAATTTAGATTATACGTTTACCTCGTATGAACGACGAGGCATAATCGATTTACGTAATAATAAATAGTTTCTTTCATTTTTTAAACGAATAAGTCAAAAGCAAGAGAATTGTGTAGCTGGTGGCACGTTGTCAACGAATAAAAATATTGAAACTGTATTATAACATTTTGAAAAACATACAAATAAGAAATAGAGATAAATATATAAAAGTAAAACAAAAAAATTTTATAATTAATCAATATTCTTAAATGTTTAGGTTTTAAATTATAAATTGTTTGCTTCGAAAAAAAGTTAAAATAACGAACGAAAGGTATGGAGAAACAGACATGTACGAAGATTTGATTCTAGATAATATTTTTTTGTGAAAAACGAGTAAATATAAATGTAAAAGTCTCTTTGTGACTTGTTGTGAGTTTAAAAAAAAAATTATAAAACTCTTCGCTAGTGTTATTATATTGCATAGACGAGTTTTAAATTATTACATCGGATTATATTATACAGGCTTAATTATACAATTCTAATTCAATCAATGTAAATAACGGTCATTTACTTCGAACGACATCTCAAGGAACAAATAAAATTAAAAACGGTTAAAGCATTGGAGGTGGAAAAATTTTTGGTAACTAATTAAAAAATTTAATCAAAATCACTATATATTGTAAGCAAATAAAGACAAAAAATTGATTTACTAATTATTATTGTTTTGTTATTTATATTTTAATTTTATTTAATTAATAAAATCTTTATATATATATATATATATATTTCATTTTTTAAAGGATTCAATTTTCAAGATCAAATTATTTTAGATATTGAACGCTGCTAACAGTGAAAGGTATATAATTACGGTATTATAAACATATGAATGTAATTGTTTAGTTGCTGTCATTTGACAGTTTAATTTTGTTTTAATTCGTGTTATCTTAATTTCAATTTTTGTTCAATTTCTGTTCAAGATATGCGTTTATCATGGTTTCCGGAAACGATTGTTCACATAATGACGAAACAGAATCTTCAAATATAACATCTTTGCAGACAGATTCTAGTTGCAAAACTAGTACCAATGTCAAACAATCTTCACACGAGTCTGCCTTTCAAAAAGATTCGTGTAACGATTTTCAACAATTTAATTGTGGGTAAATCAGGTATATGATAATTTAAACATACACAATTTGGATATAAATATTATATTTATTAAGTTAAAGACTGTAAATGTCGAGAGATACATTCAATTATACATGGAATATCTTCGGAAGAAATCGATCCTGTAGAGGAATCATACAATAAAGATCTACCGAAAGATAAAAATTCGATAGAGCAGACGCTATGTCAATGTCACGCTCGTAAGATGTAATACAAATACTTCCATTCTATGTAACAATTATTAATTGACTATTTTTTTTATTTTCTAGCAGAGCTTATACTTTACCTGTGAAGTGCAAGGATGGTAAAAACTTCAGTATTTTAAATTATTTACATTATCACTAAATTATTATTATTATTATTATTCTTTTTTTTCCTTGGTTTTTGTTTCATATTTAAAAATTTTTATAAATTCTTTAATTTGCGTTCGATAGATTACCGATTTTCTTTTTATAATTTTTTTAACTTATTATAATTTCATTTAAAAATATTTCAGATGTACGAAGACCATTTTGGTGCCCTTTTAAGTGGAAGTGGCCAAAAAGAGATTTAAAAAGAAAAAATAAAACGTACGAAGTGAAATTAACACCAAAAAAATGTCCTCATTATAAGGAGGTAGACTGCAATATATAATATATATATATATATATATATATTATATACACGTTAACAAAATAATATTGTTTTATTTTTCCTTGTATCATTAAGTACGAACATTGAATATAAAAGATGTATACAAATAACAATTATTATACTTGATGTATAGTTAACAATGCACTTCGTTTAGCCCATTATGTGCTGTGAAATAATGGAAGGGATACCACATAAAAAAAAAATTACCCCTCCTGAACTGGAGAAAGTAAAAACTCATGAAGAGAAAAAGAAAAAAGAAGTAGTAACAGAGAAAATTGACATCTATTACTTCGACCATGGGAACTCTGCGTAGGTATAACTAAATATTTCAATAGTTATCTTTTTATCACTTATCACTTTTATTATGCAGGCATTTGCTCTTACATAATTCATTCAGCTTCTTGTCGTGTAACAACAACAACAAAAAAAAAAAAAAAAAAAAATCAAACTTTTAATTGATTTTCAAATGATCATAATTAAACTTAAAGTTTTAAAAGTTTTAATTTCTTATATTCTATAATCAAGACATTATTGTTAAAAAATACTTTAAAAAAAAAAGAAATCACAAAAAACAACAATTTTTTTTTATTGTATGCGTTCTAAAAAAAATTTATGCAACTCGGAAAATATGTTAGTTATTTTACAATTGTGTTCGTTAACGTAACACGTTTTACAATTTTTACAGATATTATCGAACAACGGATTCACCGCCCGTATTACTAACCGAGAAATGTGCCGAAAAAACCGATCAAGCAGCGATTCGTTTTTGGGCCGAAATATTTGGGACTATTCATATCGGCACTGCTTTCATCACAGCATTTATTTTACAATTAATTCGATTTATACTTTACAGTATAATCAGACCATTGACAGTGGGCATTTTGCAATTGTTTGCGGACTATTTTATAAAACCCCTATTGTCAATTGTGTTCAATGCCCTCATACAGCCTATATTGATATTGTTATACAATATCGCAACATCTTTCAAGGATCTTTGTGAACCTATCGCAGAAGCGATAGGATTGTTCCTACGAGAAATCGCTCACGTGTGTGCGGCAATTCGGATCGTCGAAGTGAAACAGGGTACCGCTCCCTCGGTTGCTTGCACTTGATGATTGAATGGAAGAAGAGAGCAATTCTGAATGACGAATATGAAATATAGTTTGTTTTAAGGGGACAAGGTACAAAAACTCATAATATTTTGCGATTCGTAAAAAAATAGCACCATGTAAGTGTTCGACTTAAGTTACTTCAAAATAACCGTTTCCAAGTTATTTCAACCTCACACTCCTATCTTGTTGTACTATATATCTGTTTTATTGTTCAAGGTTCAATAGAAGGTGAAAGAAAGAACAAGAATTTATTACATCTACGTGATTGATTTTGTCTTGATTTTGAATTATGAAAAAAACTGAAGTAAAAACTGAATTATGATTGAAATAGAGTGAATCAGTTTTAACCCTTTAAGATCTAAGTATGTTAACAGTAAGTACAGGCCCTTTACTAGATATCCAGTTATATTTAGAATAATCCACGAGGCCATTGTTTTTATAACATATTTATTTCACTGAATATATACGACTTCAAAATACTAGGTCTCAAAGGGTTAAGAAGTAACTAAACTCTTCTATACGATATACTTATAAAAAGAACTTAATGTAAAGTGTGCGTATGAAAAGTATCTTTCTTTTACTAAATCACAAACTTTTATCCGTTGTTCTTCTGTAGATGATGATAAATTATCTCGATCATCAATTTGAAAAGGCATTGTCCCAAGGATAGAATGATGTGAACTGAAGAAAATTTGAAAATAGCTCGGTAATAGCTGTTCAAGTTTTAACGAATATAACACATGCCTTAACACCAGGTATATATTTGGTATTATTTAAACTTTACAATATTATTATCAGTTTCATTCATTTTGTTATTTTTTGTTTTTTTTTTCTTTTTTCTTTTTGTTTTTACAGAACAAATTATCCTCTTATAGCAACTAACTTCGTCAATAATGATCAATAATCATCCTTCGTCTCTTTCGTATATCTTACTGTTTAATAAATTATGTACAATCTCACAAACAACAAACGGAGGAACCTAATTACATCATGTAGTTGTTCACACTTCGCTATGTACAGGTACTACTAGTTTTTACAGAATTGCGCTTTCGCTCCACCTGCGTATGTAGTCGTTAATGCTTAAACTCTTGTCGTTCGCATATTCTATTTAAAAAAAACAAAACAGAAAAGAGAAAGAAAAAAAGGAGAAGAAAAATAGAGAGAAAAAGAAAGAGAGAGAGAGAGAGAAGAGAGAGAGAACGAAAAGAAAGAGAAAGAAAAAGAGAAAGGAA